TCTTGTGCTTCTCTGTTGGCAAACGGGGCTCTGAAATTTCACTGTTTCTGTTCGGTGGACAGCACCCTTGTTTTTAATGCCATTCAAATGCACAAGCTGCTTTTCCCCCTACAAAAGGGACCTCAAAGCAGTATGTTTCCCATGAACAAAATGTGCCGTGTCACTGGAAAGCCTGCTGAGATGGGCCACCTTGCATGTTCTGTATGCCGCATTTGCCGGATGGCAGCACAGGAGGGGTCACGCAGCTTAATGGCAAACTCATGATGTGCCTTTCCCTTTGTGGGCACACAAACAACACAACGAACGCAACCAAACCAAAACGCTGAAACCACCTTTTTTTTCTGCCAGTACAGGAAATGTATCAGGGATTTTTTTTGGTCCTTTTTGTAAAAATGCTCTTTTTCTGAAAATGCTTGTGTGGGATAATGTGTATAGGGACAACATAAAGGTTTCCATGGCAACTATATTTACTCATTTGTCCTGGATTCAAAACCTTACTTGGTACATATTCCCTTCTTATCAGCTCCCAGGAAAGGAGGCAAGAAGAGGAAAGCTTATTGTACCAACCATCCGTTCATCGGAATATGAACAGAACAAATGCAACGTTCACACACAACATAATCTATATAAATAAAAATGTAATGTTCGTTTGTGGGATTAACAGAACTCAAAAACCATTGGATGAATTGACACCAAATTTGGACACAAGACACCTAACAACCCAATGTATGTCCTTCACTCAAAAAATTGATTTTGTCATTTGGGAGTTGTAGTTGCTGGGATTTATAGTTCACCTCCAATCAAAGAGCATTCTGAACTCCACCAATGATGGAATTGAACCAAACTTGGCACACAGAACTCCCATTACCAACAGAAAATACTGGAAGGGTTTGGTGGGCATTGACCTTGAGTTTTGGAGTTGTAGTTCACCTACATCCAGAGAGCACTGTGGACTCAAACAATGATGGATCTGGACCAAACTTGGCACAGATATTCAATATGCCCAAATGTGAACACTGGTGGAGTTTGGGGAAAATAGATCTTGACATTTGGGAGTTGTAGTTGCTGGGATTTATAGTTCACCTACAATCACAGAGCATTCTGAACCCCACCGACAGAACTAGGCCAAACCTCCCACACAGAACCCCTATGTGGGCCACAGCAATGCATGGCAGGGGATGGCTAGTCTATATAAATAAAAATGTAATGTTCGTTTGTGGGATTAACATAACTCAAAAACCACTGGGTGAATTGACACCAAATTTGGACACAATACACACTATCAGGCCAATGAGTGACCATCACTCATAAAAACACTGGAAAACACAGTGGAAGAGACTTAAAAAGCCAAAAAATAAAAAAATACATTACAACGCATGTGCAAAATAAAAACGTAAAAAGCCAAAAAATAAAAAATACATTACAACGCATGTGCAAAATCACATATATACACATATACACACACAAAACATATATATATATACAGACTGGACCACAGCAACGTGTGGCAGGGGACAGCTAGTGATTAATATTAAAGTAAAACAATGATGTTGTTTATGCAACAAGGATGCACTTATATCTAAGGGCCCTTCCAGATAAGCCCCATATCCCAGGATCTGATCCCAGGTTTTCTGCTTTAAGCACAATTATATGAGTCCGCACTGCCAGATAATTTAGGATAAACAGAAAACCTGGGATCAGATACTGAGATATAGGGCCTGTCTTGGAGGGCCCCTAGTTCTTATTTTTTACTTTTCCAAAAAAATTGCCTGAAATATTATTGGATATATTACTGAACACTCACTTGGGGCCATGTGTTATTTAGGGTCATATGCCCTGCCCCCAGAAATATCGATCCTGGCCTTTCTGATTCAAAATATATTTACCAAAAAGGACACTCAGCTTTACCAATTGCATAAAATATTAACGATCTTACCCATTTTAGCCTTGCCACTACTTTAAAGGAAGAAGAAGAGACCAATCCAGATTCTTTTGTCCGTAAAGAAACATCAAATATTTACCTAAGTGCCTGGCATGAGTTTTGCTAGCAGAATTATTGTCCTTTTGGAATTCATGCCCTGACTCTGAGGGCCTTTCCACACAGCTGAATAAAATCCCACATTATCTACTAAAGTTCAAAGCAGATATTGTGGGATTTTCTGCCTTGATAGTCTGAGTTATATGACTGTGTGGAAGGGCCCTGGGTCTACATTGCCATATAACCAAGTTCAAAGCAGATATTGTTGGATTTTTTGCCTTCATATTCTGAGTTATATGGATGTTGAAAGGCCCTGGGTCTACACTGCCATATAACCCAGTTCAAAACAGATAGTGTGGGATTTTTTGCCTTGATATTCCGGGTTATATGGCTGTGTGGAAGGGCCCTGAGTCTACTCTGCCATATAACCCAGTTCAAAGCAGATATTGTGGGATTTTTGCCTTGATATTATAGATTATAAGGCTGTGTGGAAGGGCCCTGAGTCTACACTGCCATATAACCCAGTTCAAAGCATATGTTGTGGGATTTTCTGCCTCAATAATCTGGATTATATGGCTGTGTGGAAAGGCTCTGAGGACCTCATTCCTCTAGAGCATGGATCCACTTTAAATCCAGTTTCTGCCTCCTGCAGAATTCTGGGGCTTGTAGTTTAGGGAGAGGCCTTTAAAATGCTCAGTCAGGCATGTTACCCTCACTAAACTACAAATCCCAGAATTCTGCAGGAGGCAGAAACCGAGTTTAAAGTGAATCCATGCTCTGGTGTGATGAGGCTGTTTGTCTACACTGCCATATAACCCAGTTCAAAGCCGATATTGTGGGATTTTCTGCCTTGATATTCTGGATTATATGGCTGCGTGGAAGGGCCCTGAAAGGAGCTGGTCTATTTAGTCAACAACTCTAATATATACCAGTATTAAAATAAATCAAAGTCTGGGAAATGAATTATGACGAGCCTCGACAAGTCTCACATCTTTGAAGTACAATTGGTGCGGCGGAGGAACAAGCCATTGCAAGAATGTGTCATCATTCTTACAAGGCTGTGCCACCATAATTTAACTCTGTCAAATAATATTGCCCCCTAAAATATACTGATAACAGGGGTTGCTGTGAGTTTTCTGGGCTGTGTGGACATGTTCCAGAAGCAGTCTCTCCTACAGAGAGACTGCTTCTGGGACACGGCCATACAGCCAGGAAAACTCACAGCAACCCAGTGATTCTGGCCATGAAAGCCTTTGACAACACATACAGTTAACAATTATGATGATAAGTTATGATAATGAACAGCGGCACAACCAAAGCACCATACTCAGCTGGGTATGACACACCTTTCATTATTTTCAACGTTAAGACCAGGTAGGTTTTGTTATATAAGAGAGCTGGACTAGCTCTTCCTTCCAAAACAAACACAAACAAACATGACTTGGTGCCCTTCCACATAGCCACAGAATCCAGAATATCAAGGCAAAAAATCCCACAATATTTGCTTTGAACTGAGTTATATGGCAGTGTAGACCCAGGACCCTTCCACACAGCCCTAAAACCCAGAATATCGGGGCAGAAAATCTCACCATATCTGCTTTGAGCTGGGTTATCTGAGTGCCCTTCCACACAGCCATATAACCCATAGTATTCAGGCAGAAAATCCTACCTTATCTGCTTTGAGCTGGGTTATATGGCAGTGTAGATCCAGGACCCTTCCACAGAGCTATAAAACCCAGAATATGAAGGCATAAATCCCACGATATATGCTTTGAACTGGGTTATATGGTAGTGTAGACCCAGGGCCCTTCCACACAGCAATATAACCCAGAATATGAAGGCATACAATCCCACAATATCTGCTTTGAACTGGGTTATATGGCAGTGTAGACCCAGGGCCCTTCCACACAGCCCTATAACCCAGAATATTGGGGCAGAAAATCCCACCACATCTGCTTTGAGCTGGGTTATCTGAGGGCCCTTTCACACAGCCATATAACCCATAGTATTCAGGCAGAAAATCCTACCATATCTGCTTTGAGCTGGGTTATCTGAGGGCCCTTCCACAAAGCCATATAACCCAGAATATAAAGGTGGAAAATCCCATGATATCAGCTTTGAACTGAGTTATATGGCATTGTAGACCCAGGACCCTTCCACACAGCCATATAACACAGAATATCAATGTGGAAAATCCTATGATATCCGCTTCGAGCTGGGTTATCTGAGGGCCCTTCCACACAGCCATATAACCCATAGTATTCAGGCAGAAAATCACATACTATCTGCTCTAAACTGAGTTACATGGCAGTGTAGACCTAGGACCCGTCCACACAGCCATATAACCCAGAATATCAAGGTGGAAAATCCCATGATATCTGCTTCGAGCTGGTTTATCTGAGGGTCCTTCCACACAGCCATATAACCCATAGCATTGAGGCAGAAAATCCTACCATATCTGCTTTGAGCTGGGTTATCTGAGGGCCCTTCCACACAGCCATATAACCCAGAATATCAAGGTAGAAAATCCCAAAATATCTGCTTCGAGCTGTGTTATCTGAGGGCCCTTCCACACAGCCATATAACCGACTATCAAGGCAGAAAATCCCACAATATCTGCTTTGAACTGGGTTATATGGCAGTGTAGACCCAGGACACTTCCACACAACCATATAACCCAGAATATGAAGGCATAAAATCCCACAATATCTGCTTTGAACTGGGTTATATGGCAGTATGGACTCCGGGCCCTTCCACACAGCCATGTAACCCAGAATATCAAGGTGGAAAATCCCACAATATCTGCTTTGAACTGCGTTATCTGAGTCCACACTCAAATAATATGGGATTTTCTATCTTGATCTTCTGGGATATAGGGCTGTGTGGATGGGTCCTTGGTTATCTGAATCATATACCCCAGTTCAAAGCAGATAATGTGAGATTTCCTTCAGCTGTGTGGAGCACATTCATACAAACCCTGGTTCCCCCCACAAGCAAACCAACGACATAAATATTTTCTCACAGAAGTTGCAGAGACGGGGAGAAGACAAAACTCCGCTCGGGGATTTTGGTGAAAGCAGATCTGACGAAGGATCTGGAAAAGAAAGGAAAGAGAAGCAAAAGCTGGTGTTATGAGACAGCCACCTTGACCAGGGCCAGTTGAACTCACCCAGGGGAAAATGGATGTGGCAAGTTTCCCATCACCCAGGAAAACAAAACAGGGAGGTGGATAGGAAAGACTTCATCACACTGGGGCATCTATCCACTTGAGATCTGACATCAAACACCCTGGGATGGGATTCTGGAGGTTTGCTTGCATTCATTTCCCTTGGCATCCTCCCCCCCGCACCCCCAGACACCCCTTGGGTGCGGGAAACCCCCGATGGTGAAGGATCCCAATGCTTACAGCCCCTTACAGGGAGGTGACATCAGGCGGCACGCTGCGCGGGATGAAGCGGGCGTTTTCGCAGAGCGCGTTATCTTTGGTACAAGTGCACCAAGCCGGGCAGGTTGTTTTCCCCGATCGGCTGCCTCGGCTCAGCAGCAACAGGACGCCCAAAAGGCAGAGGAGCCCTCCTCGTTGCAGGGCTGGGCTGGCACTCCCCATCCTCTGGGTCCTGGCGGGGAGAGGCCACGGGCTCCCCGCAACATCCACGGGGAAAGGCTCCTCTCGCTTGCTTCTCTCTCAGATCCCCGCGGATGGCCGGGGACCGCCTTCCCCACCCATCCGCTCCGGCAGAAGGGGCTTAGGAGGCGCTGGGAAGGAGGCAGAGGAGCCAACCCGCTCCAGAAGCGAAGCAAACAAGCCCCGAGGAGGCGGCTGGCATCTCTGGAAAGAAGGAAGGAGGACGCAGCTTGGAGGTGGCCAAGTGACGCAACGGAGAAAATCCAGGGCTTTCACGTTTCTGGAGGGAGGCCCCGGCTGGTGGTGGTTGCCAAAAATAGGACTGGCGGGTGGGTGGGTGAGTGGGTGGGCGAGGGAAGGGGTGGGTGGGAAAGGCAGAGAAGGAGGCGGCGTGGGCGTCAGGCGGAGAGAGAGAGAAAGAGAGGAAGGAAGGAAGCAAGCAAGCAAGAGTGGATCTCCCTCCTCCAGTGTGGATGGAGGCATTGCCTTGGGCAAAAAGGAAGCCTTAAGGAAAAGGAGTCATGCAGTCCATGAGATCCCCTCCTCAAAAACACTAACATAGAGATACATGGATCCACATGGAACCCGAACAGACCCCGTCACTGGGAAGCAAAGGGATGCACAAAGGCTGCGTTTCCCCATTGTTTTGGGAAGTCCTTCATTGGGGTCTCATCCTCAAGGCTGGCCTTTCCTCCCACAGGAGTGGTCCCAGATGCTTTCCTAGCAGAGGGCGCCCAGCTCCAGCTACCAGCCGCCTTGCCAATCTTTTTATCTATCTATATAAATAAAAATGTAGTGTTCGTTTGTGGGATTTACAGAACCCCAAAAAAAAATAAGTGGGCGAATTGACACCAAATTTGGACAGCATACACCTAACAACCCAATGTATGTCCTTCATTCAAAAATTTCTGATTTTGTCATTTGGGAGTTGTAGTTCTTGGGATTTGTAATTTACCTATAATCAAAGAGTATTCTGAACTCCACCAATGATGGAATTGAACCAAAGGTGACACACAGGCCTCTCATGACTAACAGAAAAGACTAGAAGGGTTTGGTGGGGATCAATGATGAATCTGGACCAAACTTGGCACAAATATTCCATATGCCCAAATATGAACACAGATGGCATTTGGAGGAAATAGACCTTGACATTTGGGAGTTGTAGTTACTGGGATTTATAGTTCACCTACAATCAAAGAGCATTCTGAACCCCACCAATGACAGAATTGGGGCAAACTTCCCACACAGAACCTTGATGACCAATAGAAAATACTTAAGGCCATCCAGTCCAACTCCCTTCAGGCCAAGAAAACATAATCAAAGCCCTCCTGACAAAGAGCCAGGCCTGTAGCCGGGAGGGGGGGGGTAGGGGTTCAACCCCCCCCCCAAATTTTTTTCAGTTTAAAAAAAACTCATGAATTTTAACTGGTTAACCAAATCCCCGTGCTAAGTCTATGAGACACAAAAATTAAGAGTCCCACCAGTACTGCAAGCACTATCCCAGCAAATATTGACAATTTATTTACACTGTCATTACTTGAAGCAATAGCCGATGTAGAGAAGCAACCAAGTTGAGGGCGGGTGTTGAATGCTCTCATTAAGGAGGCCAGACTTGGTGGAGGTGGTTGACAGAGGCGGAGCTGCAGGCTATTGAAGGCTGCTCTGCCCCCTGCTGTGCTCTTTGCTTCAGCGTGAGCTAGGAGGCAGGTTTCAACCCCCCCCCCGAAATTTTCAACCCCCCCAAAAAAATTCTGGCTACGGCCCTGCAAAGAGCCATCCAGCTATAGATATAGGTAGATATATATCATTCACACATACACAGATATAGTATCATAGATTTGAAAGGACAATAACAGTTGCATGTTCCAGAGTAGGCAAACCAGACAATCTCCACATCAACACTGACAAAGAAACAACAAGAAATACTGTTTACCCACAAGCATAAAGACATTATACATATTAGAAACCAACATTTTCTCATTACTTTATTTTCCAGAACACCAGACTGAGCCACAGCAACACGTGGCAGGGGATAACTAGTAAACAATAAAAATGAAGAGAGAGAAAAAATTACACATAGACCAAAAATCATAATCCAGAAGCCGTTCCAATCACATTGCCATTCACTTCATAGCTGCATATAGTCCTGTGCTACGCTCCAAACATGTTGTCAAATGCTTTCATGATCGGAATCACTGGGTTGCTGTGAGTTTTCCGGGCTCTATGGCTATGTTCCAGAAGCATTCTCTCCTGATGTTTCGCCTGCATCTATGGTAGTCATTTTCAGAGGTTGTGAGGGTAGTTGGAAACTAGGCAAGTGAGGTTTATATATCTGTGGAATGTCCAGGGTGGGAGGAAGAACTCTTGTCTGCTTGAAGCAAGTGTGACATGTAGCCCAGAAAACTCACAGCAACCCAGTCTCCATAGCCAGTTTTTTTTTTTAGCAAACAAGAGTTCTTCCTGAACAACAATCCTAATTAATTCAACTATCTAATCAATCAAAAGCAGGCCCACACTTCTCTTTGAGATACTGGTAAGTTTATGTTGGTTAAAATGGTTCTTCATTTTAAACATTGTGCTGTTCTTTCTTGTGTTTGTTTGTTTGTTTTTTTGCACTGAAAATAAGAAATGTTCCTTGTGCATAGGTATTCATTCATGTTTTGTTCAAACTATATTTTAGGCCCCCAACAGTATGAAGCCCTCTGGTCTAGGAGCAGCCAATGGAAAGGTCCTCCGGGTGATGGTTGCCAGTTGGGTTCTGGCTGGTTGGAATAGATGTCCCTCAGAGGATCAAAGTGTCCAGAATGGAATAGGAGAGAAGGCCTCACTCACTTTGCATCTATCTATCTATCTATCTATCTATATTATTATTATTAGGGCTGTGCAATTCGTTTCGTTAATTCGTAATTCGTTAAAAAATTCGTTAATTTTTGAATTACAAAACGATTACAAAACTTATTTTTAAACCTGGAAGTGTTTTTAAATATCGAAACGGCAGGCGCCAAAAAATTTTGTATTTCCGTCCATTTCGGAAATACGTAAGATGGCCGCCTGGCTTGCTGGGAGCTCTCCTCTCTCCGCGCCGGCTGAGCAAGCGAGCGAGAGGGCGAGCGAGAGGGCGAGCGAGAGGGCGAGCGAGAGGGCGAGCGAGAGGAAACCCCTCCATCCTGCAGCCATCTACACTGCAGCCTGGATGAGGTTTGGCACCACATTGGCTCAATGCTGTAGCATCCTGGGAGTTGTAGTTTGGCAGCCTGAGAAAAAGAGCCCCTCCTGGAAGGAACCCATCCTAGCGAGAGGGCGAGAGGGCGAGCGAGAGGGCGAGCGGCGAGCGGAGGAGCCGGGCCCGACTCGGCGCCAGAGTGAGTGCCTGCCTTCCCTCCTTAATAATAATTTCTCCTCCCTATTCTACTAAATAATAATTAAATTTAAAAAATATTTAAAAAATATTGAAAAAAAAAGGGCGCCATCTTTACAAAATGTTTTGTAAATATTTACGAAATTTCGTAAATACCGAAACTTTTTTTTGGAAAGTTTTGTAATTATTTTAAATATCGAAACAAAAAAACACCCCAATTACAAATCGATTTTAGAAACAAATTTTTTCTTGATCAAAAATCTATCTATCTATCTATAGTGTCTATCTATCTATCTATCTATCTATAGTGTCAGGAGTGGCTTGAGAAACTGCAGCCTGGTCAGGTCAGTCTAACAAGGAGGTAAAGGAAGGGAGGTTTAGCCCGTGTCCCAGCATCCCTTTTGTAAAGCCCAGGGGGAATACAGAAACAGGACAAAGAGGTAGGAGTGCCTCAAAGTCTGTTTGGGGTGCTGTTTGCTAAACCATTGGGTGTCATTTAATGATCCAGTGGAGTTTTTGCACACCAGAGACTGAGGAAAGACCTCCCAAATTGAATCCTGCTATATCCAAACAGTTGTAAAGCTTTGCATCTGTCTTCTTGGAATTCAAAGGGTTCGAGAGGAGGCTATTCTTAAGAATTGCATCCGTGATACCAACGAAAGTCTAGTTTGTCTGTATCGACACCACCCAATTTGATACCACTTTAGGTCTCCCCTACAAAATCCTAGTAGCTGAAGATTCATGCCATGCGTAGAATTTTCCAGCAGAGAGCTCTAAGGCTGCACTTCAGTGGGGAGCACTGGCAACGATTTTTGATTTCAAGGTCCTTGGGGCACATTCTGGCACTGTACCCACAGATGAGGCAGAATAATCAAGTCTATTAGTTCATGAGTTCGAAGCCAGCCCAGGTCGGAGTAAGCTCCTGACCATTTGTCTAACTTGCTGTTGACCTTTGCAGCCCAAAAGACAGTTGCATCTGTCAAGTAGGAAATTTAGGTACTGCTTATGCAGGGAGGCTATGTTGCACTCCAGGTCAGGAAAAAGCCCTCTGACTTTAAAACACACCACACAAAGAGTGAAAAAATAAATCTTTTTTATTGAAGCTTAGTAAATAGTCAGATGAAATAAATGCTTGTAAGAAAATAAGAAAGTTCCAAAAAGTAATAAGTTCATAAAAGGTAGTAACACCAAGCAGTGTCCACACCAGATATAAAAGCAATCCAAAACAGCATTTATCCAGACAGGAATCAACAAGATGCAAAGACAATCCAAAAGGCTAAAAAACTCCACAGGAACAAGACCCCTTGAACAGGATTTCCATGGCACATGAACTTGATTTCCAAATGATGCCTGATCTAACAGGTTTCCCTTTGAGGCAAACCTTATATCCCAAAACTCAGAAATTGGTTTCGCTTTCCCCCACATTTACCCCTTATCAGACGAAGCCTTTCAGAGCAACATAAACATTGAGTTTGCTGTCGATCCTGGCTAATCTCCAGCTGCCTATTCTTCAGCTCCCTATCTGGCTGCTCATTAAAATTCCCAGGTGTCAGATTGTTTTTCAAACCCAAATCTTGAGAGCTCACAGAGAGAGGGAGTGAACCATCATTGCTAGGCCCAGCAGGAATATTCTCATGAGAAACTGCCCTTTGCACTGGGTCCTCTCCGTCATTGTCTGCCTGAAAATCATTGACCAAACCATCTCCATCTTGTACCTCAGTCTCAGCACCATCATTTCTCTCATCATTTCCCACATCAGGATCCTGAAACACAAACACAAGCTGATTCCCAACAGGCTAATTTAACTAATTTATGACATCATAAAACTCTCCAGCAGCATGCAAAAGAATGAGGAAGTACCCCATTGATGTCACAAGTGGACAGTGAAGCAACAGCTCCCCCGGTGGCTGAAATTTGAAGCATACCCTCATGAAGCTGGAAAGTTAAATAGCCTCTGTGTGTCTGTCTATATATATTGTGACTCTATG